AAAAAATTATTATTTTTTTATAAAAAATTATGTATCTGTCTTTTCACCACATTTAGTCTATCATAAATTTTACTAGCTTTCTTTCTTGTTCAAAGAACATTTCTTTTTTTAATTATTTTTATTACTCCTGCAATTACAGGTTGCAGGAGTAATAAAGTATTTTTTTCTATTCTGTGTGATTTAATTTAACTGTCGCGAAAGTGATAATGTCCAAAGAATTTACGATCGACATGTTCCTCGTTTTCTCCCAAAAGTCCTACAATTCATTTGATACGTGCAGGATGAAAAAACAAGTACTTCATATATGCCAATGTGCATTTACGAAGATACTAGCGTGACAAAATTGGACGACGTCAATGGCATGATATTGGTGGAGACCTTCAATATTATTCCCGTTATCATCGACGATCCATATGTAATGGGCAAAATCGCTTATGCCGTTGCTCTTGGTGGCATCTACTCGCTTGGTCTCGCCAAATGTTCCAGCACCAGGATGATCCTAGGTCTCTCTGACGATATGAAGGACAACGAGAAGAACACGGTGATGATCAGAACATTACAAGGCTATGTAGACGCAGCAAAGGCAGCTGACATGTCCGTCAAAGACTGTCGGATCTTTCGAAATCCATGGTGTCTGTTCGGTGGAACTACCACCGTGGTGTGTTACCCTTCCGAGATGGTCCAGCCGGTGGATGCAACTGTTGGTGATGTTATAGTGCTGACGAAGCCTCTTGGTACGACAGTAGCTCTCACTATTTCGGAATGGATGCAACAGCCTGAGAAGAAGAACAGGCTAGTACTGACCATCACCGAGGAGAGCGTCGAGAGAGCTCGTTCCCGAGCCATCGACTGTATGACCAGGACCAATCGAGTCGCCGCTACGTTGATGCGAATGGTTCGTTACTTGAAACTTCAGTTGGCGAGTTTGTTAGAGTTATTCGCGGCGGGCTTGTTAAAATAACATACGAGAGATAGGAATCTGATTCCTAGACTTCTTACGTTATTATGCTCGGTAATCACTACGTTCTGTTCGAACGTTCTTGACTTAAAAGAAATTACGCGGAGTAATCACAATTTAATTAACCAATTAAACTACGAACGAGTATTGTCCGTGTAAATTAACAATGCTGTATTGCTGTACTATTAATCACAATTAACAATCGATCGGCGAGTATCGTTCTTGATCTTGCTGGCGTGAAGATGGAACGTTGATGATATAATTTATTGATCATTGTTGAATCAGTATAACGCTCACGCCGCATGCGAGGTCGGCCCGTATGGCATCCTGGGTCATGCAAATCTCCTGGCGCGACGACAGACGAGCGACGTCAGCTTTGTGATCCACAATATGCCGATGATCGCGAGGATGTGCGCGACCGCGAAGATCACGGGGAACACGTTGCCGCTCCTGCAGGGTGAGGCGCCCGAGATATCGGGGGGATTGCTGGTGGTGTTACCGCGAGAACAAGCGGTCGCCTATTGCAAGGCCCTGAAGATGATCGAGCACAGACAGGCGTGGATCGTCGGGATCGTCGAGAACGGCGATCGCACGGCGCGTCTGATTGAGAAGCCGCGGGTGATTGAGGTGCCCGCTAAGGATAACGGTGTCTCCCTATGGTAAATAGCTGAAGGATATCGCAGAATGTCGCTCGTTAAGGATGAAAAACGGTCGAGGAGGATATCTCATATGAGATTACGAGCAATTTTAACGACGCACACTTTATGCACGCTAACGTTTACAGAAGCAAATATTATTCTTGGAAATTATGTGATATGTTTAATACACAGTAACAAAATAACTTTAGGAGTAAGCTAAGATGACGCTCGATGAACCATTGATTCAATAAACTCTTGTGTTAACGCTTTTAAAACATCTTTTTCTCTTGCAAGATTTAATATAATAATGATTAAATGATAGTAATAATAAATGTTAATAATAATTATTATTTAATTTTATATAAGTTGAAACTAATAGAGTTCGATATTAGATCCAGTTTTTAAAATAGATAGATGTGTAAAATGACTTCTATATTTATTCGCGATAATGAAGACCGATGGCAATTTGGGTGGAAAATATTTTTTGAAAAAATTGGAATTGGAATACTGAAATTACAATGGTTTTAACCGCTGCGTACATCGTGCAATTATTTCAATTATGCCTATCAAGTCGCGATGAAACTCTCCTATTCGCATCAACGACGTTTCATATCGCGCCTAATAGAGGTGCACAAAAGTTTACAGTTAACAAAGCATTATCATCTCCTTCACCTTTCCGGTTCCCTGGCCATGGGAAATCCGTGAACTCGTATCGTATATTTACGCCCGTTTCTATCTTTTTATCTCTTCCCACAATTAATTTCTTACATGGCATTTTGCACGCGAATCTCGTGGCGCGAGTTCCTTGACACCTGTCGTTTGGCATCTTAATTGCAGTGTGTGATCTTGCGTAGCCGAGAAGTTGATTTATTTTTTTTCTCCCAGCCGCTGGAATACCCGTCTCTCTAAAACGATTTCACCTAATTTGAGACACTTCCAGCAATGATAGGTCTTAAATAGAAACGTTAAAATATGATCTCAAACCTCAGAAAGCTGATTTTAACGCGAAAATATACGCAGAAGGAGTTCATAAATATCTTCTCTTTAATTTTATCACAGACAATTTTACTATTCGATGAAGTCTCACTACAAATCTTTGTAGATTAAATTGATGTATTACTTTTTCCTTCTCGAGTCTCGTATTTCTCTAGACGTATCTCACGTCGTTTATATTTATTATGTGTAGAATATTTGTTATTTATATATATAAAATAAATATTTATATAAATTGTATATAATTACATAGTTATATAGTTATATTATTTATTATATGTAGAAAAGCTTCTTTTTCTCATTTGCCGTTTTAGAAAGAACAAACTCTCATGCAAAAAGCAGATGCATTAGCGAATCGCGAAAAAAAATCTTCCCGATGAGGAGAGTCGTTTTCCCGCTGGAAAGTAGTTTGACGGCAGAGTTAATGCGAGAAAAAAGAAACGCGTGGCATTTCCCTCTCACCTGTGATGCGCTTAAATAAGGATTCTTAATTCTCCGCGCTCGCCTACGAGAGAGATCGCGCGAAAACGCGGCGACCTCGCGGCGACCTCGAACCGCCGGTGCCGGTGTCGGTGTACCGCGAAAGAAATGTAACGTTTCGCGCGCAAAATATTCGACACGCTCGAACGAGATCCGATCGGATTCATTGCGACTTCCAAGGAGAGCCGGCGTCGACCGTGAAAACGCGAATTTACGCGATGCATTATCCCGTCGCGCCGGTGTGGCGTGGGACGTCACTTCCTCGCGCCATTTTTTTTTTTTTTTCAGCGTGTCCAGCTTCCGCGACAGGATGCATTTTTGCCGGAGATTCGCCACCGCGACAATGGGTAGCATTATCAATCCCGATCGTGGTGGCACGCGCGACGTTATTCTTCTTGTTTCTTATAATCGGAGGTCACAATCGCGATACAATGCTCCCTACAATTAGGGATTAAAGGTGATATAAGAAAATATTGATATTATACTGGTATTTTTCGGTTTTATATAATATTTAAAATAAAAACTAATTGGTAAAAATACCGATATGATGAATATATCATTTTTCGATAATATAACGGTATTTTATAATTTTTTTTATAAAACGTCTACTAACTATTGAAAAAACATGGAATTTTTTCAGAGAATTTGTTTATCTTGAAAAATCAGAGCATTCTCAGAGAATTTTTTTAAAGTTACTAATATTTTGTTTTTATATTATGTAGGAATTTTCTAACTGAATTATCAATGAAAAGTGAATCCATTCACTTTAAACTTTATCACAGCATATCAATTTTATAACTTATAATCCAATATTCAGCACTGAAGACAATGATTTCGTGTTATGTGCAATTTTTGTTTAATAAAGACAGATTATTTATTTTAATAATCTTACAAAACTGAATTTTATATCGTTATGCATTATATAATTTTTAATTTTATAATTATTGAGAATAAAGTTTGAAAATTTTATGCAATATAAAATATTTATTTTTTAGAAGCCTTATAGTTTTTTTTTTAATTTTTCAAATTTAATTATTAAAATTCGAATGATGGGTTTAAGTAGACATCCTATACTAAATATCGATATTGTCAAAAACGAATTCGATTTGTAATACGTCCTTAATATATATCTTTTAGAAATTATAAAAAAGAAGTAATATATGATAGTAGTATATGATATCCTATTTTAATTAACTTGAACATCTCAAGATCTAATAATAATTTGAAATAAGATTTTAAGATTAATTAAAAAGAAAAACACGGACTAAATAATATTTTTAAAGAAAATGCATTTTTAAAAAAATTATAAAATAAATTTTAAATTAAAGAAATGTTTTAAAATGACAATGTCGATGTTAGTATATCATAATAATATCGACATAATACCGAAAAATTACAGAAATATTATATCTTATAACAGTAATCAAAATTTTGATTAAATATCGATACTTTAAATTATTTCAGCATTCAGGTTCAACAAATATTCTAATTTCTTGAAAGACGGGATTTGATGTTATCATTCAAGAGATACAACGAGCTATAAATAGCTACAAATAGCTATTGAAATTCCACAAGAGCTATATTCATATCGATCTATACTTCTATGATGAACTCGATAACAGATATTTATTGTACCGTATCGATACAACGTAAACGAAGATATAATAAATATCTTTATTGAATTGGTTCGCTTATTCGTGGAAAGGTTACGTTATGTCGCTTTTTAAGTGCAGCTTCCCTTTAATGCCACCGATCGAGGCGACTTCGTTTTCCCTCTCATTACATCACCTGACGTAAGTCCACTTTAAAGGATCTATAATTCGTGATAGAAAATTCAGAATTCTGGAATTGTTTATAATTTTATATGTCGTATAATATAGAAAATAATCAAAATGGAAAAAAATGAAATCCACATCGTATATCAAAGTCCATATATATAAGTATAATATAAAAATATTTATTAAAAGTAAACAACCAAGATATCTATTACCTTAAAAAACTGAAATTTTCAGAGAACTTTTTTTGAAATTGTTTTTTTTAATATTTTATCTTTATATTGTAACAGTATTGGAGATAACGATTTAATATGCAACTTTGTTTATAAAGATGCATATTTATTTTAATAGCTTTATAAGAGTTGAATTTTATTATATAATTTTTTGTTTGTAGCTTTTAAAAATAAACTTCGAAAATTTTATGCAATATAAAATATTTATTTTAGAATCCTTACATTTTTTTTCAAAATTTTTAAATTTAATTATTGAAACTCGAATGATTCTTTATTTTATATGACTTATAAACTTTTATGAATGGAAAATATTAAGTACTTTGCACAATAAATATATATTTATTTGTTAAAATAAATAAAAATTAAAATATAATTATATATAAATTAGTTAAAATATATATAAAAATACTTTCACTTCATCTAAAATTTTTAACAAATTGTCTTGAAAATCAGGTAATTTTTAGAGAATTTTTTTTTCGAAATTGAGACGTAGACATCCTGATAATGTAAAGAAATATAAATAAAAATGCAAATTTCTATTTAGAAATCAAAACGAATTACAGATCATCCATCTAAAACTTTAGACTGAACGTAATAATTATTTAATATTTATATTTAATAAATTCCTCGCATTTCCTGAGATACAATAATCGTATCGGAAAAATCAAATGAAATTATCGCACGAATTAAATTTTTAAGTGGATTTCATATTCATGAAAAACGATGGCGGAGCTATTAAACAAGATGTCCAAGCTCATTAATTAAGCTCGCCAAGCAGCGCGCCAAGGTTGAGGGGGCGCGGGGTGACTTTAGCGGGCGACTTTATAATTGGCGGGGGGTTGCGCGCGCACATTTGGTCGTTTTCGTTCCGCATGTCCGCGACCATCGTTCCTATTCCACGTTCCGTCCGACGGCTCTTAAGATGGCGCATCGATCCTATCGCGTGACGTCTTGTCAGCTGCGATATCTCGTGCGCGTACGAATCGGCGTCGCGTCGCAGCGCGTCGCTGGAGGTTTGTTGTCGCGGCTAAGGGAAATCAGCACGGAAACGAGAAAAGGGAAATGATGCGCCCGACGCATCGCGACGTTGCGAAGTCACGCGTGCCACCAATGTGAATGGGGTGAATCCTCGAAACGTGACCTGACGTCACGCACGCACGCACGCACGTACGCACGGCCGTCCCCGCTCGCTGCCGGCTTCGCCTTCCTCTCGGCTCGCCTCTGCGGCGGAATAACGCGTTGAATGGTAAATATCATTCACGACAATAATTGCACGCACATCCGTCGGCATGGGTTGTGATTCGCCGGGCAGCGAATCGCGACGGCGCGATAATCCAGGCTTTTGTCGCGTCGCATTACATCGTTGCGTCGCGACCGAGCTAGACGTTTCGTCGTGTCTCTCTCTTTTCACTGCCATTCCGTCGCTCCCTCTCTTTTTGCCTTTAACCTCGCGACGTTATTATGACGCGCCTTGTCCAAACAATTAATAATTTATTTTCTTGAATTTCTTTTCTCGATAATGCGTTGGATGTGAATTTTAAGACGTAAAAAATTGTAATTTATGATGAAAGATGTTAATTCTTATCGTTTATTCAAAATTTATGTGATTTTTATAATATTTATGGTTAATTTTATATTTAGTTTGACGTTTTTATTTTTAGTAATTATATTTTTTTCGTCTGGCGAATATATTATATTTCTGATTGTCACATCTTCAGATTAATATTCTATCGATTAATTAGAAGAAAAAGAATATTGGGCACAATAGTTTCCTCTAGACAAGACAAAGTTCAACATTAGGACATAAGATGTCTTTAAGATATTTTTCACAAATATGTCTTTAAAAATCTTTTAGACCTTTTTAAGACATTTTATGTTTTAATTTTGGACTTTGTGTTGTCTGGATTGCTTCATTTATCGGCATATTTAATCTTTAATTAATCTTTTGTTAGTATAATCTGTCATGAAAAGATAAAATCCATTGCATAAAAAAATTAGTTTAAAAAAGACTATATATTTTTATATATAGTCAAAAATGTCATAAAAATGTCATGTCTTCTTAAAAAAATTTTGGTCTTGAGTCGATTGAATTTATATTAATGCAAATATTACTTTTACTGAATTCATTAAGAATCTTCTATATGAAGATTATAATATTTTTGCTTACATATAAAGATAAATATAAACAAAGATCAATACAAATAAATAAAAAAATTAATGGTTGCATAAATACAAATAATAATAATAATAATAATAATCTAATAATACTTGCATCAATATAAATTCAATCAAATCAAAACTAAAGTTTTAAAGAAGATTACAATATTCTTGCTTATATGTGAGAATATTTGTCTTGATTTAAGATTAATTTTTTTCTGTGTGCCAGAAATTCTTTCTTCAAATAAAAAATAATACGAAAGTTATCATCCCTTTAAAATTCAAAATTAGCTGGAAATACAAATTCAAAAATTCAGAGAGGTGGCAACCATAATTATATAATTTTTCAATAGCTCGTATTTATATTTTATTGTATTATTTTCTGCCTGTTTAATAATAATAATAAGCATTAAACATTGCAGATGTGTTAACGTTGTCGTTACGTTCTAAGCATAATTCTCTGAAATTTCTAAGAGTCCTCATACGTAAGTCTGAAAAATGGCAGTATTGTATGACATATATAATGCTCGTCATGAATTTGCGTAACGTCGATAAGACGGCCTCGAATTAACGTCTCGTGATTACGTTAAACGCTCGTTTGGTCTTTCGCGCATGGTGACAATTCAAGGCCATTGATCAATGACACCAAGTTCAATGTATCATATGACGTATTAAATATCATTACGTGTTATCAGTTTATTGATTTTTGTCTACTAACATTAGACACTTAACATAAGTAACATAAGCCGCTAACAAGCTTGATTTGGTATTAGATTAAATTAACAACAAGAAATTAACAAAACGTCACTAAAAAATGATCACAAAAATTTTCTCAGCACCCTTGATGTATTTAACATTCATTCAACATTTTCTAAAATTTAATACTTTTGTCAAAGCTAATTTCCGAGTGATAATAAAAAAATAATAGCTCGGAAAATAGAAATGAATTTATATTTCTTTTAAAACATTCTGATGTATTCTATCGTGAAATAAACGAATCGCATAAACAATGCATGAAATGCGAAAGCCACGTATTGAAGTCAGTTGGATATCGCAGAAATAGGACACAAAACGGCGAGTGGCATTAATAATAAAAGCACAGGTTTCATAATCTAGTTATTTTGCAATAGTTGATTTGTATTCGTGTCGCAAAAAGCAGGAAACTCAAAATGATGCTGATTATGTAGTGATCACTAAGAGGTTTGCCATCTTGGATCTTCTTTTTTTTTTCTTCACTTAATGCGCGACACAATGTGGCGATTAGATATTACGTGACGTATAACGAATTCAAAACTATAAACACATACAGGAAAAAATTAATGAATTCTTAAAAATACATACAACAAAATATTTTGATAATCATTTATGTACGATTCTCTCGTATTCTTATATAATGCGTTAAAGAAAAACAACATCGTACAAAGTTAATTTAATTATATAATAAAACTTATATTTTTTTAAATTGCACGAGGTTTTGTGCAATTTAAAAGATTCTCGATTATCAGCTGCAGGTAGTTATGCAACCACGGGCCAAAGAAAATCAATAATTACCTGCCATCCTTCCCGCAAGGTGCTATACAGGCAACGTACACAAGGTGCTAGTACAGCAACGAGTCATCTTTATATAAATCCTATGCAAAATATTTTTTTCTTTTAGGAAATTCAATAATAAAGCTTAATAACTTTACTGCGTAAAATTATTATTGGTATAATAGACGAAATAAGAATTATAATAATAAAAATATTATTATTAAGTTGTTATATATATAATCTTATTGTATAGTTTAATTTGTTGTTTTAATTATTTTTTGCCTACATATTATTCTCAATTTATTTGTATAATAATTTATTTATCTAAATTTTTGTCAATTTTAATAGAAAATATTGAAGTCTACATAAACCTGTTTGAATTTGGAAACTCAATGATGTGAAATTTTAGGATATACTGATAACAGGCTTTAGTAAATTATCAGCACTATAGTCACTTCATTACCTATTTAGCGTGGTGACAAAATCAATGGAGATTAAAATCGTACGCAAGAACAATACGAAAGAGAATGCATACACGGGAAATGATAACAAAGGACTTTTATCGTGATTAACAACCAAAGATTACGAGCGATAGACGTTAATTCGAAGTTTGTCACGCGGAAATTTGTGTCATTATTTCGAAATAATTTCATTATTGATCAATACAAGTAGAAAACAAAATTTTCTCTTCAGTTCCATTTTTCCATTTTTATATACACGGAAAAAACAGTTTTGCTAGCAATTCTAAAAATTTGATCGGATACAGATCTGAAAATAATTTTATTGGACCAGTAAAATTATTATGTAGAACGTTTAAATATGATAATAATACTGCAAAACTGTTTAATCTTCTAACAACCAATTTGAACGTGGTGCATAATAATTTTGAAAGATCAGCAAAATTATTTTCAACTACATTTTTGAATTTGTTAACAAAACTGTCAAATAGCAAGGTGACATCTTAATGACATTTTATTGACGTTAGTCATTAAATCGTTATTAAAACATCATTGCTATTTGGTCGTTCCTTTCGTGTATGTAAAAGTTCTCTTTTTAACTTCTGTTTTATTACGTAATACAATTTTTTCGTCATAAGATCGATTAGTTTATGCATATATCTTATGTCGGAACGAATTGCAATCCGGATGCAGACGCATCAGACGCGGCGATCGGTTCCTTATCACGCGCTCTTTTTTCTCAACCCCCACGCGAATCATCGTACAATCGCGAAAGCGCGTTGGCATGAAAGACTATTTACGACAGCTCTTGGTCCCGGAACCGGTCCACGGACTCTGCGTATACCCTGGAGGAGGAAAGCGCGCTTCGTGAAAAGAGGACGCCGACGCCGGACGTCGTGGAGCCGGAGGAGGCCGGCCACGAGCACGACGATCCGCAGGAGGATGATCCCTA